TCAGTTGACAAGATAAAACAGACAAACTACTATCACATCAGTTGATTAGATAAAACAGACAAACTACTATCACATCAGTTGACAAGATAAAACAGACAAACTACTATCACATCAGTTGACCAGATAAAACAGACAAACTACTATCACATCAGTTGACAAGATAAAACAGACAAACTACTATCACACCAGTTGATTAGATAAAACAGACAAACTACTATCACATCAGTTGACAAGATAAAACAGACAAACTACTATCACACCAGTTGACAAGATAAGACGGGGGCAAACTGCCATCACATCAGTTGACAAGATAAAACAGACAAACTACTATCACATCAGTTGACAAGATAAAACAGACAAACTACTATCACACCAGTTGACAAGATAAAACAGACAAACTACTATCACACCAGTTGACAAGATAAGACGGGGGCAAACTGCCATCACATCAGTTGACAAGATAAAACAGACAAACTACTATCACATCAGTTGACAAGATAAAACAGACAAACTACTATCACACCAGTTGACAAGATAAAACAGACAAACTACTATCACACCAGTTGACAAGATAAAACAGACAAACTACTATCACACCAGTTGACAAGATAAAACAGACAAACTACTATCACATCAGTTGACAAGATAAAACAGACAAACTACTATCACACCAGTTGATTAGATAAAACAGACAAACTACTATCGCACCAGTTGACAAGATAAAACAGACAAACTACTATCACATCAGTTGATTAGATAAAACAGACAAACTACTATCACATCAGTTGACAAGATAAAACAGACAAACTACTATCACATCAGTTGATTAGATAAAACAGTTGATTAGATAAAACAGACAAACTACTATCACATCAGTTGATTAGATAAAACAGACAAACTACTATCGCACCAGTTGACAAGATAAAACAGACAAACTACTATCACATCAGTTGACAAGATAAAACAGACAAACTACTATCACATCAGTTGATTAGATAAAACAGACAAACTACTATCGCACCAGTTGATTAGATATAACAGACAAACTACTATCACATCAGTTGACAAGATAAAACAGACAAACTACTATCACATCAGTTGATTAGATAAAACAGACAAACTACTATCGCACCAGTTGACAAGATAAAACAGACAAACTGCTATCACACCAGTTGATTAGATAAGACAGAGACAAAATACTATCACATCAGTTGACAAGATAAGACAGAGACAAACTACTATCACACCAGTTGATTAGATAAAACAGACAAACTACTATCACATCAGTTGACAAGATAAAACAGACAAACTACTATCACATCAGTTGATTAGATAAAACAGACAAACTACTATCACATCAGTTGACAAGATAAAACAGACAAACTACTATCACATCAGTTGACCAGATATAACAGACAAAATACTATCACACCAGTTGATTGAATTAACAGAGACAAAATACTTTACCACTTGTTGAGAGGATTTTACAAAGATAAACTACTAAAGCAGAGACAATTTATTAACACATCAGTTGACAAAATAACACAGATGTGATTACATCAAAGGTTAACTAGAGAATAACTTATTGATAATAGAAGGAACGGGAGAAAGTACATACTGCTATTACAATAATCAGGAGCTAAATAGCTTTTTTATTTCTCATAATTTGCCGTGCTAATTTTGTTCCTTACACAAATTTCTTAGGTTTAAATTCTTCACAGCATAGTACCTTTGTTTGATGAAGCCATTATTGATTGACTTAGAAAACACAAACATTGAATCATGACCGTAAAATGAATTCGCATAAACTTTCTTGATATAAATCGGATCGACATCATCTTTTGTACGATACATCATTAACTAGACAGTATATCGTGTTACCTTATAAATGAAAGCAAGCAAATCATGTTAATGTGTCAGCATAATGGATGTGTATTAGACAAACCAAGATTTTACATCATTCATAATATTGAAGATGATCTGGTGAATCAGGAATACAAGAGCCGTCGTTATATGAAAAAGAGATCTAGTATATTTAATAAACCCACAATGTTCGTCATACCACGACACAGATGAGGTCAAATACTATCCACGGTAATCTACTCAACGTGTCTACATCATACAGACAATACCGGCATATAAACATGATTTAAACTCATAATGATGAAACTAGAGCAAAATATGAACGAAAAGAAGATTTGCAGGAGATTTCTGAAAAAGTACAAGGATAACAAGATCAAGTTTAACGGAAGTGTCTTCTACGTCATCGCCGATACCCGCCAAGTATACCAAGCTCCCACGTGAGACAAGGATGAAAACAACTGCGGTACTACTATGGACAATAACGAGGACCAAAAACACGTGCAACTTAGAACGTGCAAGGAAATACAATATTTCCAAGTAAGATCATTGTGATGACCGTATGACTTCTCCCATAACGTCCATCAGCCTGTAGTGAGTGCCAGTTACCAGCGTTGTTGAAGAATGTCATGATGATAGAAACCCCTTGAGTATAAAATCAGTTCCGATCAGCTGTAGAACAAGCAGTGTGTTAGAAATACCACAGGTAACAAATAAAAGTGTTCGCCAGACAATCTATCTATACATCATACTGTAGAACGAACAGAACGGGTAACTTGTAAAACGACAATCTACTTATACATTATACTGTACAATTAACGACATTGGTGACAGGCAATTAAATGTACACACATAGGATATCCATTGGGATATTTCTGTTACTTATTGAAATTTGTTGTACACACAAATAATTGTCACAGGGATATTTCTGTTATACAAGTTATTGAAATTTGTTGTACACACAAATAATTGTCACAGGGATATTTCTGTTATACAAGTTATTGAAATTTGTTGTACACACAAATAATTGTCACAGGGATATTTCTGTTATACAAGTTATTGAAATTTGTTGTACACACAAATAATTGTCACAGGGATATTTCTGTTATACAAGTTATTGAAATTTGTTGTACACACAAATAATTGTCACAGGGGTATTTTTGTTATACAAGTTATTGAAATTTGTTGTACACACAAATAATTGTCACAGGGATATTTCTGTTCTAAGTGTCCTGTAACTGGATGATGTAGGAGAAATATCTGATCACCATCGCTAACTGTAGTTCGTACCTTTTAATCCCACCCAGTGAGGCTTTTACTAAATGATGGATTGCAATTTTCCGTGATATTCTATGGAATTTTTGTTTCAAATCTCATCACCTAGGTTTTACTGTAGATATTAGCGTTGGACAGAATGACACTACTGGGAGTTTAAGAGCGTACATTTATAAGCCATTTTGACTTGGAACATGGTTATTCTGAAGACAGGGCATCCATCATTGTGCGATATGTGTATTGTTCTCAAATATTGCGTGGCGTGTTGAATCCCTAAGAAACAGCAAAGCCTTGTTCAGCAACTTTGGCTGGATGAATAAAGTTGATTGTTTATCGGTAAGCTGTAAACATTCAAATTGTTCGTGTTTGTTGTTTGTATTCTGTTTTAAATGAAAAAAGTTACAACATTTACTTTGAAGGATACGATAACTGGCAAACAGATAATGTGCAAGGGTAAGGTGGAATAATGAATTCTGTCTCGAATCTTTATACGAAAAGTATTTATAAACACTTTTACTTGTCGAATTAGATAATATTGACCAATAAATGACAAGGAATGGAGACAGTACGAACACAATTCATAATGACGTCTAAACACAATGGTTACTCAGACGAATCGTGAGGGACTTAAAACAAATGTATGACGTCATGTTCACAAAACGCTTTTATAAAACAACCCAAGGTTATCAAGTTCACAAAACGCTTTTATAGAATAACCCAAGGTTATCAAGTTCACAAAACGCTTTTATAGAATAACCCAAGGTTATCAAGTTCACAAAACGCTTTTATAGAACAACCCAAGGTTATCAAGTTCACAAAACGCTTTTATAGAACAACCCAAGTGATATCATGTTCACAAAACGCTTTTATAGAACAACCCAAGTGATATCAAGTTCACAAAACGCTTTTATAGAACAACCCAAGTGATATCAAATTCACAAAACACTTTTATAGAACAACCCAAGTGATATCATGTTCACAAAACGCTTTTATAAAACAACCCATGTGATATCAAGTTCACAAAACCCTGAATAATGAATAAAGGATAATGAATTAATACCATACTTATTTCAATATTGTAGTTGAATTTTGACAATTATAGTGAGTACCACGTATACAATCAATTAACAGAAAATAATCACGGATTTAGTATTTAGAATGATTGTCTACTTTGTGATCATTTTCTACGTCATCATTATACAATAGGCCTTTAGTTGAGGTTATTCGCTGAATGAAATTATGTATGGTACGAGTGATAAATTTCAATACATGATCACTAATCAGGCGATGCTAACATAATATAGCATATATTCAACATTATTTTGATAGAAGATACTAGATCTGATTTCTAATAAGAACATTTTAAATGTGAAATGATAATCCCACCCATTATCCGTACACAGGAAGCACCCCGTTATATCTTATAAAGCATGACAGTTAGATGAGTTTACGGAGAGTGAAGTTAGCCTTGATGAACTGCAGGGTTGACGATGTCACGTGATTACTTCATCACATTAAAAACTCAGAGTTAATGTCTTGAGAGTGACCATTAATGAGAAGATGACAAACACTGGTTATTTACATTGGGACAAAGAGAATCACAACTAAAATTACAATATATCATATTCAGCTGCAATTACAGACACGTTGTATTGTTATGTCCTCGTTCAAGTGTATTGTAAACCTCTGTTTATAATTACAATCATTTTCTTCAATCAATATCAGCGGTTTAAAAATTTCTTTACATCAAGCAGGGAAAAAATGGAGACAGAAAGTCAACTTACTTTTTTGAAACAATAGCGGCAAGATTTAAAGTGATTACTTAATGCTATTTTTTTTCTCGAGATATACGTACAGAATTATAATTATATTTTTTTATTTCTGAAAGCAATCAGATTATTTGTGAGACTCTTGGATGTCTGATTATTTGTGAGACTCTGGGATGTCTGATTATTTGTGAGACTCTTGGATGTCTGATTATTTGTGAGACTCTTGGATGCCTGATTATTTGTGAGATTCTGGGATGCCTGATTATTTCTGAGATTCTGGGATGTCTGATTATTTGTGAGACTATGGGATGCCTGATTATTTGTGAGACTATGGGATGTCTGATTATTTGTGAGACGCTGGGATGTCTGATTATTTGTGAGACTGTGGGATGTCTGATTATTTGTGAGACTCTGGGATGCCTGATTATTTGTGAGACTGTGGGATGCCTGATTATTTGTGAGACTGTGGGATGCCTGATTATTTGTGAGACTGTGGGATGCCTGATTATTTGTGAGACTGTGGGATGCCTGATTATTTGTGAGACTCTGGGATGCCTGATTATTTGTGAGACGCTGGGATGTCTGATTATTTGTGAGACGCTGGGATGTCTGATTATTTGTGAGACTCTTGGATGCCTGATTATTTGTGAGACTCTGGGATGCCTGATTATTTGTGAGATTCTGGGATGTCTGATTATTTGTGAGACTCTGGAATGTCTGATTATTTGTGAGACTCTGGAATGTCTGATTATTTGTGAGACTCTTGGATGTCTGATTATTTGTGAGACTGTGGGATGCCTGATTATTTGTGAGACGCTGGGATGCCTGATTATTTGTGAGACTGTGGGATGCCTGATTATTTGTGAGACTCTGGGATGTCTGATTATTTGTGAGACTGGGATGCCTGATTATTTGTGAGACTGTGGGATGTCTGATTATTTGTGAGACTGTGGGATGTCTGGGATGCCTGATTATTTGTGAGACTCTTGGATGTCTATTTTTGTGATTCTGACTTTGTTATTTGAGACTGTGGGATGCCTGATTATTTGTGAGACTGTGGGATGCCTGATTATTTGTGAGACTATGGGATGTCTGATTATTTGTGAGACTCTGGGATGTCTGATTATTTGTGAGACTGTGGGATGCCTGATTATTTGTGAGACTGTGGGATGCCTGATTATTTGTGAGACTGTGGGATGTCTGATTATTTGTGAGACTGTGGGATGCCTGATTATTTGTGAGACTGTGGGATGTCTGATTATTTGTGAGACTGTGGGATGTCTGATTATTTGTGAGACTGGTGATGGGATGCTGATTATTTGTGAGACTGTGGGATGTCTGATTATTTGTGAGACTGTGGGATGTCTGATTATTTGTGAGACTGTGGGATGCCTGATTATTTGTGAGACGCTGGGATGTCTGATTATTTGTGAGACTGTGGGATGTCTTATTATTTGTGAGACTCTGGGATGCCTGATTATTTGTGAGACTCTGGGATGCCTGATTATTTGTGAGACTCTGGGATGCCTGATTATTTGTGAGACTCTGGGATGCCTGATTATTTGTGAGACTCTGGGATGTCTGGGATTATTATTTGAGACTGTCTGATTATTTGTGAGACTCTTTATTTGTGATGTGCCTGATTATTTGTGAGACTGTGGGATGCATGATTATTTGTGAGACTCTTGGATGACTGATTATTTGTGAGACTGTGGGATGCCTGATTATTTGTGAGACCTGATTATTTGTGAGACTGTGGGATGTCTGATTATTTGTGAGACTGTGGGATGCCTGATTATTTGTGAGACTATGGGATGTCTGATTATTTGTGAGACTATGGGATGTCTGATTATTTGTGAGACTGTGGGATGTCTGATTATTTGTGAGACTGTGGGATGTCTGATTATTTGTGAGACTGTGGGATGTCTGATTATTTGTGAGACTGTGGGATGTCTGATTATTTGTGAGACTGTGGGATGTCTGATTATTTGTGAGACTGTGGGATGTCTGATTATTTGTGAGACTGTGGGATGTCTGATTATTTGTGAGACTGTGGGATGCCTGATTATTTGTGAGACTGTGGGATGTCTGATTATTTGTGAGACTGTGGGATGCCTGATTATTTGTGAGACTGTGGGATGCCTGATTATTTGTGAGACTGTGGGATGTCTGATTATTTGTGAGACTTGGATGCCTGATTATTTGTGAGACTCTGGGATGTCTGATTATTTGTGAGACTCTTGGATGTCTAATTATTTGTGAGACTGTGGGATGCCTGATTATTTGTGAGACTGTGGGATGTCTGATAATTTGTGAGACTCTGGGATGTCTGATTATTTGTGAGACTGTGGGATGCCTGATTATTTGTGAGACTGTGGGATGCCTGATTATTTGTGAGATTCTGGGATGCCTGATAATTTGTGAGACTCTGGGATGCCTGATTATTTCTGAGACTCTGGGATGCCTGATTATTTCTGAGACTGTGGGATGCCTGATAATTTGTGAGACTGTGGGATGTCTGATTATTTGTGAGACTCTGGGATGTCTGATTATTTGTGAGACTGTGGGATGTCTGATTATTTGTGAGACTCTGGGATGCCTGATTATTTGTGAGACTGTGGGATGCCTGATTATTTGTGAGATTCTGGGATGTCTAATTTTTTTTTATTTTCATATTTAGTGTAGTAACTAATGTGTATATATTACTACTCATGGTATAGAAATTGATATTGATTTATATAGACCTCATGTCAACCAATCAGCTACCAGTGATCTCTGTTGGATTTTTATTCGATGAAGGAGATTTACATAAAATGTGTTTGATCTGTCGGGAAGAGAGCCTTGAGCTATGTAACTTGCCTCGGCGTTTCAGAACAAACCTCCTATTTTTCGACTGTTTGTGGTGTTCACTAATTGCATGTGTTTGGAATGAATATACATTTTTTTCGGTGACTTCCTGAAACCCTCATTGACAATCGACCTGCAGACGAGTGAACCGGTACACATTCCTTTCAAAAACAAATATCAAGTTATTGGACTGATTTATTTAATATCTACAGTCAGAGCAACCAATACAGACATCCGTGTTGAGCGTCTCAGGAGGAAGAATGTAAAGCATGGAGGAGGTATGCGCTTTAGCAAGTTCCTCTATCTTCAATGCTTTGTTTTTCATCTGGGTTAGACTAAAGAACACCATGCCCTGGTCTTAACCTTTTGCTTAGTGTGAATATCTCACACGTCAAGCATTGAGCCATACTGTTATACCTGGGTTCCAATTCCCAAGACACATTTGTTGTGAGGATGATAAATGCCACAACACTGTGTTTCTTTTAGGACAAACGAAATGTAATCCTTGCTTCTACCTACATTTATGTCCCAAAAATGTCGATTACCCTCTTCAAAGACCATCATACTGTGGACAAATGAAACGCAACTACATGTGCGTCAAGTTTATGAGCATTGGCAATACAGACAGGTATGTATTAGATGTCTGTTAATCATTTAGTGATGATTACGATGTAATTGCTGAGGTTTAAGGATGTGTAGGAGCTATTGCGAGGTTCAGAGTTTTCTGTGTACATGTCTTATCATCTCCTTCCAGATTAGACACAGAAACGTTCACTGACTGCAACCGGGTGCACAAAGTTTGGAGATAGAAATTTATCATAATCGATCGAAACTGCGAAAACTGTTCAAAAATCAAATCAATCATTTCTTCAACATCTTAGCTGAACTGGTTAAGTAGCGACAACATCTTTGAATGTTGTACATAGGTCGGTCTTATATACCTACACCAGGGGAGGTCTTGAGGAACCTTCGCCTGGATAAGCGCAAGCAAGCCCGTTTTGTTTTGCTCAATAATTCAGACGCAAGGATAGGTGATGAATTCAACTTGTCTAGACACAACTGGGCTCCCTGAATAGAGGTAGATTGTTTTGTCATGTTTTCCACAAATATAGTAGCATGCAGATCAGCTGAAATAGCGCTACAGTACATTGAGGAGCATCTGACGGCGTGTAAGTTTATACGAAAACTTCATATGAGATCAAACCACAAACCACAGACAAAAATAACATCAAGATCGTGTTTGAGAACAATGACCGAGATTACCCTGTCAAAGATTATCAATATAAACTATAAAGCGAAATAAGTTCATACAATTTATTATACTAATCACTTTTGTTGGCAGGATGTAAGCGCGAGAGGGCTCTTATTGTGGGAGGAAACCGGAGTACCCGGCCAAAATCCACGTGGTCGGGCAGATCACGCCAACATCTTTCCACGTCAGTTCCGGTAAGTAAACCCCGGACGTATGGGGTTAGTACTTTACAATGCACCCCCCCCCCCCTAGAACACTAAAGTGAAAACTGGAATGAAGCAGCGTGTTTCCTTTTTTGAAACAAAATTTTAAAATGAAAAAAAAAAATTGTTGTATTAGTATCCAAGTGTTGAACAAGTATGGAATACATAGCTTTACGAATTCATTTGTCTAACATGGTAATTTCGCACTAGTAATGAAACTTTACATGTTAAAAATCGACGAAAAGAACAAATCCCCCTGGAAATAGTGTAACTTTCGTTTTCATAAAACAGTTGGAATATGGTGCAAATATCATTATACAATTTCATCTTAATTGTGTCGTTAAAATGTTCTAGGAAGAATCGTATTACTTCATCTCTAACATTCAAACTTGTGTTAGTCAATGAGGTCCCATTTTAATAAGAATGAACTGAGAAAGTGCATTACATAGCTTTACATTGCGGGTGTCGTCAGTGAAGCAGAGGACGCTTACTCTTACGGGACACCTGATCTTATTCTCGTTTTTTTTTAATGGGGAGTCTCTGAGTAAATCTTTCGTTTGTTCATAAGTTGTCCTAGTTTAATTACTTTTATTTGACTTGGATTTGGATTATGATTGTGATGGCTTGTTTGTAATCTCATTTCTCTCTCTCTCTCTCTCTCTCTCTCTCTCTCTCTCTCTCTCTCTCTCTCTCTCTCTCTCTCTCTCTCTCTCTCTCTCTCTCTCTCTCTCTCTCTCTCTGTCTCTGTCTCTCTCTCTCTCTCTGTCTCTCTCTCTCTCTCTCTCTCTCTCTCTCTCTCTCTCTCTCTCTCTCCTATTTAAGCTTTTTATGCCCATATAATTTTGTATATATCTGGTTTTATGAGTTCTTAAGACTCTTTAACTCCACACATTCATTCCAGTCACCATTTGATACTAGAAAATCTAGTCTGAACTCTTAAAACTATCCCTGACTATTCAATGTTATATTATATAATTTATTTTTAACTCTAAAAGCTATCCCTCGACAATTCAATGTTATATTATATAATGTATTTTTAACTCCACACACTCCAGTCACCATTTGATACTCTGTGATCTAACTCTAACCGATCACACATTTTCGGATACAAAATATCTTCATTTCGATTGTGTACATATTTGGTATACAATGGTTTTCTCTTGAAGTATTTGAATATGATTCATATTTTTATTTACAAATTAATGCTTACTGCAAATTGGTAGACACTATCCCTATTAACCTCGACAGTGTCCTTATCCGATGTCGATCGAATAAGGCTATGTTTAGTATTAATCGATTGGTGCGCTAATATGTGACCCAACGCATACAAGAAAATCACACCAACATTTTCTTCATATTTCTATAAAGTAAATAGAAAACATAATGATGAAATTTCGACAACCTGTTTTATTCGGTCGAAATCGAAGTAAAATATATCAACCATACTGCGTAAAGGATTCTACTCACTTTTGTCAGGGTTAGCGAGGATTAGGATTAGTAAGGGTTAGGATTAGTTCGGATTAACTTGTGTCAGGGTTACCGAGTATAATGATTAGTTAGGGTTAAGGTTAGTTCGGATTAACGTGTGTCAGGGTTGGCGAGGTTTAGGATTAGTTAGGATTAAGGTTAGTTCGGATTAACGTGTGTCAGGGTTGGCGAGGTTTAGGATTAGTTAGGATTAGTTCGGATTAACTTGTGTCAGGGTTACCGAGTATAAGGATTAGTTAGGGTTAAGATTAGTTCGTGTTAACTTGTGTCAGGGTTGGCGAGGTTTAGGATTAGTTAGGGTTAGTTCGGATTAACTTGTGTCAGGGTTGGCGAGGTTTAGGATTAGTTAGGATTAAGGTTAGTTCGGGTTAACTTGTGTCAGGGTTGGCGAGGTTTAGGATTAGTTAGGGTTAGTTCGGATTAACTTGTGTCAGGGTTGGCGAGGTTTAGGATTAGTTAGGATTAAGGTTAGTTCGGGTTAACTTGTGTCAGGGTTGGCGAGGTTTAGGATTAGTTAGGGTTAGTTCGGATTAACTTGTGTCAGGGTTACCGAGTATAAGGATTAGTTAGGGTTAAGATTAGTTCGTGTTAACTTGTGTCAGGGTTAGCGAGGATTAGTTAGAGTTAGGATAGTTCGAGATACCTTGTGTCAAGATTAACTTAGGTATGGGTTAGCTAGCATTCGTTTTCTGTCTGATACTACGTCCCTTCAAACTCATTACAAAACAATATATCTTCTTTTTGTTTACTTTGCTATGACGTGTATGTAAATGAAATACAAACAAAGCAGGACTTAGTTTACAAAACTGTACCACTTACCAATATCACACGGGGAGGATTGATTAAACACAGTATCGTAATCTTTCAAAATGTTCCACTCGTACGGAAAGGATTTTAGCTGAAACTGCTCTAAGCAAATTCCCCTCGCTTAAAGACCGACACAAATCGCCCTTTACTGTGTTATATAAACTCATCTACAAAATCAATTGCACAAGGTGTATTAGTGTGTGTCTTGGTCAAGTGTTGTTATTTGTTCAAATATTTGATATAACTTTCGAAATAAATATATGTATTCGAATTTTGACAATATATAAAATTACATAATAACACGTGAAAATTTAAAATATAATTGTCCTGATTTCTAACTGTTACCGCTCGGTTGTATTTCTGTGTATAAACTTATTTCATTTTCAGAGAAAAGTGAAAATTGTAGAATTAAATACAAATTAAAAATTGTTTTAATGCAATTTATGCAGGCATGCTGTGCATTCATTTGTATATAATATTTGTTTTAATTTATAGGAAGGCACTTTAAGGGATAAGTGAGACAGTCACATGTATTACTCATGCGCAGTAATATGTGGCTATTTTTAGACGCTATATAAATAAATCACAAAGCTAAGTAACTTCAGAAGCTGAAGATTAAGTATGGCGGATGAAGGTTCGTACAGTCAATGTCATTTCTTTACCTTTAGCTCTCGCCTATGTTTTTTAACATTTCTATCTCCTTTTATATGATGAGTTTATAAATAAATTTTATTTTATTTTATTTAAGTTTATAAATTAATATAACTTTATCTATTTTTGCTGATGAGAAATCGTTTTAATCATCTAAATTTCTACCCCAATGTACGCTAATCGCAAAATTAACGTTCTTGATCTTTGTCAAAATACACTTTCCTTAAGCTCATTTGACCACTCACAAAGTACTGAAATAGAGTCGTCAGCATGCCACAATGAGATTGATTGAATTTCCATGGAATTGCATGACGAATCAGGTTATCAATACATCATATAATATATAAAACGTTACGTCACTCAGCTATATCACGTGATCAATTATTCGTATAGAAGAAACCGAAAAAGACATTAGGACCGTGCACTCTGGCCCATCTGTAGCCAGGTATCAACACTGAGGCTGACTTCTGTGGGAGATTTTCTATAAAGATGAAAGTTATCATGTACAATCAGTTCACTTCATCACTTAAGTGCAATATTTGCAGTCCAAATACTAATACGTTTTATTGTATTCAAAGAAACAACAGTAATGGAAATGTAAAGGTAACTAATGTTACGTACGAGTTAAATTTATCGTAATTGTTCTAAGTACAAGTAGGGAGTTTGTGTGTTAAAAAGGGAGAGTGGCCGCGACAGCTCAGTTGACCTAGGTATGTCTCTGACACTCCCTACTAAACCTTATGTGGACCTCCAAGGTGTGTCTCTGACACTCCCTACTAAACCTTATGTGGACCTCCAAGGTGTGTCTCTGACACTCCCTACTAAACCTTATGTGGACCTCCAAGGTATGTCTCTGACACTCCCTACTAAACCTTATGTGGACCTCCAAGGTATGTCTCTGACACTCCCTACTAAACCTTATGTGGACCTCCAAGGTGTGTCTCTGAC